ACTGTAAGAGCGCCTCAGTCTCACTTCCTACACGATAAATCCAATTAATTCGCTTAAAATTAAACTAGGAGCCAGCTATTCCGCTATCAGACGTCTCACGAACAAGTCCTAATTATAGAATGTCCGATCTTTATTGTTTGTTAGGCTCGGCGTACATTAGATCTGCATTGCACTAATTAAATACCCCCGGGTTGGTTACCCATTAGAATGATTTTGGTGTGCGCATCAGATACGAGAGGGCGACACTTCCTTGGTAATGTACAGTCTAAGTGAAAAGACTGGATTATATTTGTTAATAGGGAAGTGTTGGATTTATTTTTATTATTAGAATTGATTTAATTGATATTGTAGAAAATATAAGCGTTATATTACTTTCTAATATTATAAGAAATATTAATAAAAATTTATATTTAAACATGGAATGTTTATATTCGACTGAATATAGATTTTTACGAAATTATAGATAAAGCATATTTTGTATTAACAAATTGGATATATTTTATAGTAATTTAATTTCCATTGTTTCTGCCTACCCTAATGGGAGACAGGCGTGACAGATATGTATGTATGTATGTGTGTAATTTATAAGGGTAAATTCGCAAGTAACATTTGGATTTCAATGTTTAATTAGATGAATACATTGAATACTTCAGTACATTAATTATTATTATATATATACTATATGCTAATCTAGGGAATACACAAGAATAAAAAAAAAAAGAAATAAACAGCCAAGAGAATGAAGCTGTGAACACATTTAAATTTCTTTCGTACATTTTTTTTAATTGAAAAATAATATAAAAAATAATAATAAAATAAACATTATCGTGAACGAAAGTCTCATGTTGTCATCTCGTGATGATTTATAGCTGAGCTGCGCGAGCGCATTGGCTTCCGTGTCATTATAAGACGCGATACGAAGGCACCACGTCGCTCGCCGATCACATCGGCACGCGCCTTGCCTATTGTCCGATCACACCATGTTTGTTTACTCCTAATAGGAATAAACTTATTCGTTTATAGAAAATGTTAACTTTATTTTTTGGTATTTTGTTCCTGGGTGGTACAAAAGTTTTTAACAGCGTTAGCAATCATTCATGATTTAACTAGGCAGAGTTAAATGTCTATTTACAAGCAAATTACTTAGGCATTTTCATATTTAAGTGTATGCTTTTTTTATTCCCATATTTATGAAATCTAAAACCTTTTTAAACTGTTTTGTCATTTTCTTTTTAATCGGGAATGTAGCACAAAAGAAAGAGACAAAACTGTTCAGTAGTTAAAATAGGTTTATAAAATGTTTGACTTTTTTTATGAATAAGAATGTAAAAGTATTATATTCTATTTCATTTCTGAATTAATTCACTTTTTCCTGCACGCATATCAATTTCTTTAATTAACATTGTAGTTTTAAATGTCTATCTTTATTTACAAGTATAGAAGTTTTGTTTTCTACGATGACGTCTATGTACTTTAAGTTACTTTCTCAAACAGATGTTAAAATTTGATTAACACATAACACAATTGATTACGGTTCATTCTCATAACATGGTCAGTTTCGCTATATTCTATTCTCTTATTAACTTTACTTCTTTGTAATATAGCATTACTTTCTACCTCAAAGTACAATTCCATTTCAATGGTCTATTAAATTAATAAAATACAATAATTTTTCATCATTGCTTAGTTTCTTTTTTAATACCAATGGTTATATAACAACTCGGTGCTCAATAGCTCAATAAAAGAACATTCAAACGATAATATAGATGCTCTTTTGTTTATCGCTTTTCTTGTTTAACGTTATTACCAAAATATATTTGTCCTCGTCATAATAAGGATAGGTAAATTTATCTCAGTTGCTTAAACTGCGGATAATTAAAGACGAATAATTTCGTTTTTGGAAGTTAACAGTAAACTTTGTTATCACTTGATATTTTTTTAGTGAAATTAAATAAATTAATTTAAAGTTTTCTATCAGTCAACCTAGAACCATAAATTGTAGAAATATTATTTGATAATAATTATTTATGTTTATATTTTACTAGCTACTCGTCCCATCTTCGCACAGTTTTTTTTAATTCAAATACAGCTCATGTTACTAGCTGGTGCATCTTCATGCATGTGAAAGTATTTTTAAAACCAATTAAGTATATTTTTGAGTTTATCCATTACAAACAAAAACTTTTCTCTTTACAATATTAGTTTAGATCCAACGACAAGCTGACCGTTGTTACCAACATTAAGTAACATACCATAATTAAATCAGTTATCGGCGTATTCGCACGCACAGTTGCTTAATGTTGCGCTAACAGTTAACAGTTCGTCAAGACGTAAGCACTTTCACTATCACACGTGTTGGCACGAATTAAGATCTAGATAATGTTGATATTCACTATTAAAACAGGTGAAACTGCCGTTACGCCGTTGCGACCTTGCTCGGGGCATGCTCCGCTGATCTTGTACTGATAACACTAAAGCGAAGAATAAATGCTGAATTCAGTCATAAACTGAAAATGTGAATCGGTTTATCTTTTATAAAAGAAAAGAAGAAGGAATGCTATTATATATAAAATAAAATATAAATTAAGTAAGTAATTTTTGTGTGTATATCATTAGATTTGAAATGTCATTAATGTTTGCCTGAACTAACCCAATTTCTTACTTGACAACAAATACATCCTTCACTGATTGAGAAGAATGCTCTAAATATGATTCATTAGCTAATTGTCAATCTTCACCAAGATCATACATTACCTTTCTAACAACGGGTGCAATGAGATGAGATTATTTTTAGCTTTTCACGAGTAACAAACTAAGCTCTAGAAATCTATTCTCTACACTAAAAACAGATAATGAAGTATCGAGCGATATGAAATATCTTTTTTACTACTAACGTAACATTTTGAATAAAAGAGACATCACAGGAGTTTTCTGACACACTCTGAATTTGAACTACAAATCATATTTTAAATTCACAAACAGAACTTATAGCGACGCAATTACAGGTAAATAGTATCAACATACCTAATTTTGATTGCAAAATATGTGTAAATAATGCAAAGTTTAATTGAATATAAACCTCCATAATAATGCCATTAAATTGTTTTACTGAATCAATCAATCGATCAACAGTTGCTTGACATCTAACAACACCTAATTCAATAAAATATCAATCAATTTATTTATATATATGTATCATTAGGCTAAGTTCTATTATAATAAACTTAATTTTTATAACAATTAAGGAGTGCCTTAGTTCATCGACAAGCTCATGTGATTTTAAGTATCATGAACGTGACTATAGCAGGTCTTAATGTAACGTAGGCAGAACAAATCTGGCTCACTCGTGATTTATATTTCACAATAGCAATTATAACGCCGGGGGCTATTGTGAAACGAGTTAAAACCGGTGGTGCTGTCTACGAGGTATAAGCAAAAGTAGTTAATATAGGCGACAACAGAACAAATGGATCAAATTAAGAGGTCTTTGATGAATTTACAACACAAAACGAGGTCGATGTAACTGAACGAGAATTCATTACAACAGTTGAGAGTAATTTTAAAAAGACAAGGATTGATTGTATACATGTTGTACGTGAACAGGAGATAAATTTGTTAGTAGTTAAAGCTATAAATGAGATAATAGAGCAAACTGGAGCAGCCACGTGCCGCAATAGGTTTAGTGAAATGTATCTAGTTTACTCATTGTAAGGACATACTGTATTGGATTTAGCAATATCGTTACATATTTGACAAATATTCTAACAGCTGTCCAATGAATAATGTTCTATTTAATATTAGTCCAGTAATTAACTAGACGTTTTTGATGAAGTAGATGATAATATACGAGAATAAGTTTATTAGGTTTTGAGACAATGGTATTGGTTTTTTATTTTGAGTTTGAGAATTATAAAGTATGTTATCCATTCCTTAAAACCAAAGGCTAATCATTAATAGGACCTCAAAAAACATTATTTTTTGGAAATTAATTTTAGATTACTAAAAAGTAAAAAAATACATTTAAATTATAAATTAAAATACATTTGGATACTAGAATTAAAAAAATAAGTTACATCAATTAACATATTGTATAGATATTTATACTACAGTATGTAATGTTTAATAAATTGTACCGAAAATCAAAGTAAGTATTATATTCAAATACTATAATAAACGCTCATTACCATGCTCAAATATGCTCAGTGGTATTATGTTGGAATGTTGAATACCTTCACCATAATCATAGAATGTTGCTGAAATGGTTTTGATTACTCCATCTGGGATTATTGGGAGATTAAAAAAGTCGATTCACTCGAATCGTAATATGGTTAATGCTGTATAATTCGTCGAGTTTAGTAGGCATCGCGGGGGGGGGGGGGAGCAATATTAAGGGCTTTCATACTTTATCTTACTAAAGTCAACGTCACAACGTCAGTGTGTTAACTTTGGAATTATTTTCAAAAATATTTTAATATTTATCTGTTTGATTATTTAAAAAGTGTTCTGTTAGAGAAATAATATGTTAATCATGTAGTAATATTCTTATTAAGTTGAAACTGAAAATTTTCCACTTTGATAGCAAAAAAGTATATGAAAAATTTCAAAGGATAATATGAAAGAACTACAAGGATTATAGTGGTAGATCTAGGTTTATGCAAAGTATTTTATGATTGACGTTTTAGTTCGCTATCAGAGCATTTTTTAAATAATCAATCAGAAACGTTAAAAACTGTTCAATATTTTTTTTAAATGTGACATTGCCATACTTTGGTAAGCAGAAGTATGATCACATATGACTCTAGTAGAAATGTTCGTAAAAATAGCGACCAATTGCCATTAATGAAAAGAAGAAAAAGAAGTATAAACGCTTTTAATGTACTAGTATGGGTTTATCTAAACGTTAAACGATATTAATCGTAATATGATTTACATAAAGCAGTTATTTTAACCCCCTAGTGTAAATATTTATTTTGTTTGTAATAAAAGCATTCTCAACTCACCTCATGCCGTCAAATCCGTCATCTGATCCGTTTATAGTTAACACCGGCGCACGCGCATATGCTTTCGCCACGCGTCTATTTTTTTCAAACACAATCACCTTCGCCCAAATTTCATCATCGATTTGTGTCCATTTGTCTAGCACTTCCTGTATGTGTTCCTGTGAGCAAAAAAAAAAAATCAAATAAGATCTTGTTTAAAGTACAAAACATGTTTATTGTAAAATTATAGGTTACATTAACTGTAAATACAAACAGGTAATGGATGAACAGATTTAAATAAAATTTGGTACACTTTGATAAACTATAATCTGAATTAGTTACAGGATAATTCCATTATATTACTAATATTATAAAGTAAAAGAGATTTATTTGTTAGTTTATAGCGCCTTAACGATTTAACCAATCTCTACAAAATGGTATACATATGCTATAGACTATGTTTTATCTGGATCTGTAAACATATTCTATCCACATGGACGAAGTCGCGGGGAAAAGCCAGTTTTATTAAAAATTAAGCAATTAAAGTAACGCGTTACAGCTAGCATACCTACCTATTATAAAATTGTGTTTTTGTTTTCACTAATAGTTACAAAACTAATTGTAAAATCAATGGCCTTGTCAAAAATCATAGTGTTTCTATTGTGAAGCATTACCAAAGTTTAAGATATTAATCCTAGTGTGGCAACAGTGTAGTAATAAGATGACACCGAGCCCTGCGCGGACGCAACTGTGTTCCGCTCTAGTAACCGCTTTGTTTGAATATAATGTTTAAGGATATTTAAATATCGTATTCGAACAAAGATACATAATCATTATAATTTTTTTATATGTATACTCGTAGATTTTTTTATAAGAATTGTTAACATTGTTCCTTTTTATATTTAAGTATTTTAAATTTTGCATACCTAATTATGGTGAAGTACTGTGGACTTATTATTATTATATTACCAATATTTATTGCAAATAAATATTCATTTATTCATTCATTTTATCATTCATTCAATCAAGATTTAATTAGTATTACAGTTATATTCATATTTCTTTTGTGGTTAAAAAATTAATAAAATAAATCTCAATATTGCTCGTTTTGTAATTTACAATTAAATTATTTAACTGTAAGGTTGTTTAATTAAATATTTTTGTACCTTACAATTAAATGATTTGGTCAAGTATATTAATACATAGATTACTTGATTGCAAATGAGTTTAAAAATTTCTATTTTGCATTATTTACTAGATAATAAAGATGTAAAGAAAAAGAACGCATCAAATTATATAGGGATTTAATGCTAATACGGTACGGTAGTAAAGTCTACAGATTAAAAAAAATAATCATCTAAACTAAATACTGGTTATACCGATATCGCGCTATAAAAAAAAATATGTACAGACAAACTGAGAACCACCTCTTTTTGGACGTCGCTTTAAAATAACAGGCTAATGTTTTCAGCAACAATTTACTAGAGGCATCGGCCTGTGTAAACACACCTCTGTTTTTGTCTACACGTAACGACAAACCGGCAATTTTGTTATACGTAGCCGTTCTAAATAGACCGTTACTTTTGACAAAAAGTTTTGAAATACATAACCGCACTTAGAAGTAATTTTGGTTGGCACATGCTCTTTTTGGTGCGCATAATGATGACAATTCAAAAAAGAGAAACTTAATTGTATCTTATAAATAGTGATACGTTCAATAATTTAACTTCATTATTTATATTTTTTTTTTTATTAATGATAGTTAGAAAGGCAAACAGGCCTTGACGGCCCACCTGTGTGATGGAAAGTGGTAACTGTCGCCTATAGACACGTACACCACCACAGACATAGCAAATATATTTTTAATGGGTAATAATAGCATGGTAACCCCGCCTGCGCTATTGGTATATACTAGCAGGACCAGTGATAGATGACTGATGAGGATGAAAGCAGATCAGTTAGCTCATCCTGACGAATTGGGGCTATTTGACTCGATTGCTAACAATCCCTTTCCCCCAGCAAAATATATTAATATAGTAATAATGGAATGGCAACCCCATCCTTGCTATCGGTATACACCGGCGGAGCACCAGTTAAGGATGATAGGTGAAGATGAAAGCAGGTCAGTTAGTCCATCCTGACAAATTCAACTAGAATTAGCCACGATGGTTTCCAGGGGAAACCACATGGAGGTCGACCTGACAGGGTATATTGCTAGCAATGGGCCTGTATAACTCCATTGCTAACAATCCCTTTCTCCCCAGCAAAATATATTGTAATGCCCATAGTATTCTTCACGCGTTTACCATACATATTTATATTATGACTAGTTTTTATTTTCGAATTCGTCCATATAACCGGGATAAAAAGTATCCTTTTACATTATTCTCCATTCCATACAGTAAGTACAAATATATCAAATGTTATGATCATTCCTTGGGTCATTAAAGTACCAAGAGGTGACAAAAAATAAATCAATTTTATATCTATAATATTAGTTCAACATAATATTAATAAGGATTACGTTGATTTTAATAGTAATTAAGTCATTAAAATGTTGTAAAATTTACAACTAAATAATGTTAAGTTTAAAACACCTCTTTTAATCAACGATTTGATTGGAGATAAGCCAAAAATCGTAATATCGAGTCAAATATTGATACCCATTATCAGTGCAAATATAATATTTATGTATATATCTTAATTATTTTAATCTGTTTTAGAAAGAGCAACAAAACAGCTGAAGTACGATATTTAAGACCATAACTTGATAGTAACTTGCTCATTAGCACTAACCCCAATGAGATAATGAATTCTATGAGAATCATATTACTCTAAGATACAAAAGCAAGAATGTACGTACCAATCGTTATAAATCGGTTAAACGACAAAGCATGACTGACTGTCCAAGGCGTTTGCGAATAAGTATAAAACTTGGCCTAATGAGCTCTATTGAGCACAAACATGGCATACCAATCGCAAATGAAGGTGGATTGTAATAGTACATGATTCGTTCGTACATTAGCGAAAGTATTTGTAGATGTTAAATTTATAAAGCAGGTCGTGTGGTCGATGGTGGTCATGATTAGGAATTGATACAGATGCATTCATGAGGAGAAAGCGTTTTGTTACATTAATTTGAATATTGTATTATTAAGTTTCTTTTTTAATGGAACAATAATGAGCTTATAACTGTCTGTGTTATTGAAATACACGGGTTGGGTACCATTTAGAGTTGATAAACGTTCCATTCCGTTTCCGGATTTGCTGGAAGAGAACTCTTTTAGAGTTAAGCTCGCCTTTGTTTATTATTAATTTATTATATAGATAGTAAATGTTATTAAAAGATTTATTAATAATTGTTTTAGGAGTACATTAACTTGCCTTTATTATATTTTTATGTATTATTGGTGTGTACAATAAAATAAAATAAAAAATAATTGGTGAGGATAAAGTCAGATTAGTTGACCCGTCGTGATAAATTCACCAGGAATTAACTATGGTTTCCTGAACGGACCATATAGAAGGCGAACTGATGGGGTATATTTCTAGTAATGGTGCCTATTATTAAGAATCTCTTCGCCTCTTGTAAGATTAAAAAACCGTTTCAAATTGATTTCTTGCAACTGTCTTTTTTGGACGTCTGAGACATAGTCTCCAACCCAGAAGCAAAGCTATGAATTTAAAGTTTTAGAAATACAATGTTAGAGAAGTAGTTGGAAAGATCGAATTAGCGATAAAAACGTTCTACATAAAGAAAGAAGATTGTACAATTATTAAAAACAGAGAAAAAAAATACGAGATTAAGAACGACATATTTTCTATCTTCACGCCATACGTGTAACATTTGATTCTTTATATTTACACTTATTGCTTTGTCCACTTTCGTAACTCGTTTTGTGTTTACACACCGGTTTTGGAAACTGTTAGCTTGATTGATTTGATAAGGTTGTTGATAGTTTTCATTAAGTACCTTAAGTTTATTTTAAAAAATTCTAAATATAATATTTTATGCAACTTGACAAATACGCTGATAGTTCACCTGATGGATAATATTATAATCTGTTCCATTTATTCATAAAAATATTAAAACTCTCATAAACCTATTTTAGCTATTGAACTGTTTTATCTCTTTCTTTTACGCTAACATCCCAATTTGAAAGAAAGTGATGAAATAGTGTAATAGTTAAAATAGGTTTTTAGGTTTCCGTTTTTATGAATAAGAGAGTGTAAATTTTAGAATTCGCAATCTCTGCATATTTGGTTCATAATACTCACACAGGGAAGTCTATTCTTAAGGAAATATACTTGTTTATATGTGATTAATAAAAAAAATAAAATAAAAAAATATACATAATTATATATTTTCGATTATTTAACTAATATAATAAACAAATTACTAGATGATGTCTACACATGGGAGATGTTTAAATAAAAAAAAAATATATGAAGGGTCTTATTAGACCAATAAATACCAACATAATTTTTAGAATTTTCGTCTATCTTTCTGCATATTTTTCTGATATCACGCAAAAACTATTGCACCAAATTGGGTGCAATTTTCATAGTTATGTTCCTAAAGATCTAATTTAAGACTGAAACGAAACATATATAAGGCATATTTTATCTTGTTACGCCATCTAGAAGTGGTATCTTCCAGTGTTTTTCAATCTTTTTCAAGACGTGACCCCCTTAGTATGTAAAAATATCTTGCGACCCCCTATCCTCCACGGTTTCGAATGTGTATGAATTTTATTATAGTACAATTATGAAATCTGTACAGTTATATTTATATGTACAGTTAGGTATCGATAAAATAAATAATACATAATAAAGTATCTAAAACAGACATGTAATCGATGTCTGTTATAGATACTTCATTATGTATTATTGATTGATTGATGTATTTACGGAACTGTTGATTTTTCACTGCTTGTAGAGGCTCGGGGACCCTCCAAGAGGTCGCGACCCATACTTTGAAAAAACACTAGTCTATTCCATTGGAATTCATACCTACGAAGTCTGGAATCAATGCTTACGATGTATCAGATAAAGAGCTGGTTATCATATGCATATATTATAGTATATTATCTCGAGAAGGCGGTATTTGGAACTTTTCTATATTACTAGAAATGCCTGGTAGTAATAATGTATAGAAATGTGTCGTGAGATCCCAGCA